TTATCACTATTTACAAATTAAAAATATAAAAAAAATTAATTTCTACAATATTAGTTCAATCCAAAAAGCTACACAGTGATGGTACTAAAATGATGGGAAATTTACGCACTGATGGTACAAAAAAAAAGAAGATATATATATTCATTAAGTTGTAGGGTATTGTTGGACCCGTGGGGGCTCATCACAGATCATGTTTCGATAATTCGAACCATTCAATGTATAGAACTTGTCGAGTATTATATGCCTGAAAAAAATCACATTGATCGGATATGGATAGCTATGTGATCAAATCAGATTTTTTTCAACCGTTTATTTTTCACCGTCCATTTTTCTCATACAAAACAGTTTTGATCACATAACTATCGATATCTGATCAAAGTGATTTTTTACAGGCATATAGTACTTAACGAGTTCTACACATTAAACGGTTTAGATTATTGAAATGGGACCTGTAGTGGGCCCCCACGGGCCCAACAGTACCCATGAAGCCTCATGCTATATATGCATATGATTCAGATTCTTCTCACCATTTCAACCATATCGTACGGTCCTTCTGTAGTACTGTCACTAATGAGTCTAGAACGTAGGGGTAAAAACGTAATTTTACTATTTTATATAATATTTTAATCCACATTTTTTTGTAAAAAAATAAAAAGTTATTTTAAACAATCATATTTTTTTCCTCTATTTTTTAGTCTAAAAATTCAAAAAATACACTTATTTAAGACATTCCAAACAACCCCATAATATTATATTTGTGGATCGGGTATGATTTGAGTAAAAAAATATTCTCCTCCACTCTCGACCCGAACGTAATTGGGTATTTCAAAAGTTTTCTTAAATTCGACGTTATCTTAGTCAATCACTCCCGATCCCATCCTATTAGAATTAGGAAGAGTCAGGAACTTGATGGATCGAAATATTTTGTTATCCTTCGGACTATTTTGGAAAGATGGTAAAAAATAATTTTTTGATTTTTCATCAAGTTTTTTATTTTTTTAGATAAATGATTTGAAAAGTTGGTAAAAAATTAGTTTTGCCTTTTTTGATTAATATTTGTTTATGATGTTAAAGCACAATAAAATGACTAAACTATCCTTATTCAATTTAAAATATTTACAACTTCACTCATGTAGCACATTTTGACCCATAAGGGGTAGAATTATAATTTCACCAGTGGCTGAAAACTAACTTCTCAAATGTCTTTAAATACAAAAAAGCTAATTTTTGGTTTTTGCTACAAACCTAAAAATGTGACTAAAAGTCAAGTTCCGAAAACACCCCTTAGTTGACAGATTGATAATTTTTTGGGATACTTATGTGTATGTCCTAATAAATGAATTTGTTGTCTAATAGGTCTTATGGGAAATTTTTTTTATAAAAAAATGCCACTAATTGTAAATTTTAACGATAATTTATAAAAATCATGATAAAAAAATCAATAATTGTTAATTTTTAGCGACATATATAAAAAATTGTTATAAAAAAAATTATTTTTAGTAAAAATTTTATTAAGACTTATTTTAAATAAAATTTGATAAAAATTAAGTCTAACTATTAAGATTTATTAATAATTTATCTTAATTTTTTTACTTATGGGATCCAAACATAGTCGGGTTATTTGTTTTTCAATTGGTTATGTGCTTGATCTCAATACATTTGCTTTGGATTGACTATGTGTGGATTTGCAATTGATTATCAGTATATGGTTGATGCTATTGGTTGTTCTAATGCTCTCCATGAACTTGTGTTTTGAACAGATATATGATTGGTTTATCATATGCATATTACATGATGTGTGTGGATGTGTGTTTATTGTTTCCACAGACAAATGTTAATAAAAAACAAATTATTGTGTCCCAATTATGAGTTTATCTGGACACAAGCTACTTCAGTGCTTATATACCTAATTTTTTATTAATCTTCTTTATCCTGCAGATGGATCTCCGAGATAAGCCTGCACTTGAGAAGATATTTGCTTCCACAAAGTAAGTTTTACCATATGTTCTCTAATATTTTTCTGTTTAGCACTTTGTCACTTCAAAGCTCTGCAAGGTGAAATTGTCTTTCTATAACCAGTGCAGAGCCATGTTTAGGAACAGGTTTTTTTTAGTGACTTTTTGATTTTTTGGCTAAAATATGAGATGAAAACACTAATCACTCTGTTTGTTTTCAGTTTTCAGAATTCACTTTTCAAAAAATTTTATCTTTTCATTTTTTGTACTTTTTTGTTTTCACTAGATTTTTTTTAATATTTTAAGAAATTTTTTAAATTTTTTGACATACATAACTTAGATGTATCTAAAAAGTAAAAAATTGGTGAAGAAAACCTTTTAAAAATTCACTAAATATCCAAAATATAAAAAAAATACGAGAATTCAATACATTTTTTATATTTTTATGTATTTATTAATTTTTTTAAATATTTTTTCACAAACTTTTTACTTTTTAAATACATCTAAGTAAGGTGTATCTAAAAAGTAAAAAAAAATGTTTAAAATTTAAAAAATATTTACTAAAAACAAAAAAACACGAAAACTAAAAAACTTAATTCAAAAAATTCAAACCAAACACAATGAATGTGATTCAAATAAAAATTAATTTGATTTAAATAAGATAAAAAAAAATTAAAATAGCATAGGCCAAACAATTCCTTATTGTAGATCGATTTGAATCGGTATAAGTCTCCATGGTTGATATTTTTTATTTTTTTTTACTTTTACATATCCTAAAACAAGTTTTTAAAATAAATAAGTAACATGAACTTTGTTGAAAGTTTGAGAGAAAATATAACTTCGTTGCACTTCTCTCTTAGAAAAAAGGTAAATTATGCTAGGTAAATTATACTAACACTTTCTGAAGTTTAGATTTAATACATATTATTTTTTGACGTTTGAAAAATTACGCTAACTTCCTATCATTATAATTATTTAGATGAAGTGAAAATATTGAACCCATGCATTTTTTTTTTCTTCTTGCTTCTACTTCTACTACTACTTCTTCTTCTTCTTCTTCTTCTTCTTTCATTTACTATACTTTTTTGGATAAATTATAAACACATCCCATGAGATTTAATTAAGATACAAATCACCTCTTGTGATTTTGAAAATTACATTCTACGTCATGAGGTCTCTATTTTTATAACAAATCGCCCATTTTATTAATAAATCATCAAGTCAATTAACATTTTTAATAATGTTAGAAATATGTTTCAATTAATAATTTAAGTAATTTTATTATTATATAGGAGAGTAATGATGAATTTCATTTTTTTTAGTTAATTATGTTAAATAAAAAATTCTAGCAATGGGGTATTTGTAATTTTTAAATCATAGGGGCAATCTGTATTTTAAGCAAATCTTAGGGGGTATATTTGTAATTTATCCTTTTTTTCAATGTAATTTTCTTTATTTTTTTATTAGGAATTGCTGCATTTTGTATAAGAGTAAATTACACTTTGTCCCCTAAAGTTCCACCCATGTCCCACTTTGGCCCTTTAAGTTTAATTTTTCTCACTTTGACCCTTCATGTTTGTAATCCTTTTTACTTTGGTCCTTCATGTTTGCAATCCATCACACTTTGACTCTTCATATTTGTAATCATTTTTACTTTATTCCTAAACTAACTTCCATCCAAAAAACTATCAGAATCTGCCACATTACTAACAGATCAGCTTCATGTATGATGTAAAAATTCACTAAATATGCAAAAATTAAAAATTAAAAATTAAAAAAATTGAATTTTTTTTTAGTCTTTAGTGAACTTTTTTTTTTTTTCAAATTTATTCATAAACATTGTTACATTATAGATGCATCTAGATTAGATGCAACTAAAAAAATAAAAACAAATTTAACTAAAAAAAGAAAAAAGTTTACTAAAGATAAAAAAATAAAAATATACTGACTCAAACACCTATATTATCAATTCTGAAATGAAAATTTTACTATCGTTTTTTTCGTCTTTAGTGAACATTTTATATTTTTTTTATTTAAATTTGTTTTTATTTTTTTAGCCACATCTAATCTAGATGCATCTATAATATAATAATGTTTATCAATAAATTTGAAAAAAAAAAAAGTTCAATAAAGACTAAAAAAAATTTCTAATTTTTTTATTTTTTATTTTTTACATCTTTAGTGAATTTTTTACATCACATATGGAGCTGATGTGTTAGTGATGTGACAAATTCTGTTACTTTTTTGGATGGAAGTTAGTCTAGGAGTAAAGTGAGAATAATTACAAACATGAAGGATAAAGTAGGAAGAATTACAAACATGAAGGGTCAAAGTGTGAAAAATCAAACTTTGTAAAGGGCCAAAGTAGAAAGAATTACAAACATGAAGGACCAAAGTGAGAAGGATTGTAAACATGAAAGGCCAAAGTAAGAAAAATCAAACTTAAAGGGTCAAATTGAGAAATGAGTGACACTTTAGGAGGGGCAAAGTTCAATTTATCCATTATATAAGTATGAGGTTTGTGAAATGAAACTATTAACCACGAAGATATACAGGTAATTTTCAAAATATCAAAAAGTAAGATATAATTGAACCATATCACAGAAATATCAATGTAATTTACCTTTTAGAAAAATTTAAAAGATCATAACAAACTAATATAGATTGTGGCAAGTTTTAAAGATAAATATTATAAAAAAATATATTTTTAGTTTAAAAAATAAATTGATTATTATTTTTATCTATATGAGTAATAAATTTTTAAAAAAAAAACTGTTATATGATTTTTTTTTTATTTTTAAAAATCTATTCTAATTATGCTATTTATAAAATTAATTATATTTTTTTATTCAAATCTGAATGTGACCAATATAATTTATTTAAAATAATTTTATAAATATTTTATTTACAGTGTTCACACGCGCTAAATGTGAGAGTGGGCAAAGATGGATTGACAACACCCATCCAAGTAACAGTGAAGATAACTACATCAACAGACAAGCCACACAAAAATTAATAAAAAAATAATTAATAAATAAATAAACAAAAGATAGAGAGAGAGAGAGAGAGAGAGAGAGGACGGGAAGAGGAGAGAGAAGATGGGGGGGCACTTTACTACTTTTTTATGTTGCACGCATCCATGGCAGAAAACAGAACAGAAGACAAGAGTATTACTACTACAAGCACAAGAGGAGGAGGAGAAGAGAAGAACAAGAGAACCACAACCAAACCACTTCCAAGAAGAAGAAGAAGAAGAAGAAGAAGAAATATTTTATATACTAGCAAAGAAAGAGATACATATATATACACACATGTATATGTATATGTATATGCAGAAGAAGAGAAAGAGAAATTTCATGTGGGTGGTGGTGAAGTGGGTTTCTTGAATTTCTTGCATTCAACAAGTGTTTTTGGGTCATAATAAACTATTTCTCTTTTGTCTGTTTTTGTTTTCTGTGTTTTCAAAACTAGGGGTAAAGAGAGAGAGATTGAAAGTATTGTGTGGATCTCTGTTTCATGAAGGGATGCCCTTACCCTTTGATTTTCAGGGGAAGGGGTTATTAGATTCTTCTTCTTCTTCATATTCTTGTTCTTCATTGCCTCCATTTTCAAATCCATTGTTGAAATACAAAGAAAGTTGCTTTCTTGGTAGTGAGCCTACCTCTGTCCTGGATACCATCGGAAGCCCAAGCCCTCCTACTTCAACCTCAACCCTGTCTTCTTCTTTGGGCGGCGGCGGTGGTGGCGGCGGTGTGGCGGCGGTTTCAGGAAACTCATCTCACAAATGGCCTCCAAACTCGAATGTTGGAGTTGAATCAGCCTCACTGGAGATAACCACCACCGCCGGCGCCGCCGTGACGGCGGAGAAATGTGGGCTTGGGATGGAGGATTGGGAGAGCTTGTTGTCCGAGTCTGCGGCGGCGTCACCGAGTCAAGAGCAATCTGTTATCCGGTGGATCATGGGTGATGTGGATGACCCTTCAATGGGTCTAAACAAGTTGTTGCAGAGCGGCGGCGGCGGTGCTCAGCCGCCGGAGTTTGAATTCCATGGCGGTTTTGGGGTTGTAGATCAAGGTTTTGGGTTAGACATGGTTTCAAGTGTTGGGAATTTTATGGGCTCTATTAACCCCTCTTTACCCACGTCAGGGTTTTCTCAGGAAAAACTCTCTCTCCCCCCAAACACACCAATTCTCACAAATTGCAAGCTTCCAAACCCTCAAAACCCTAATCTTTTCTCCCCCGGTCTCTTCAACCCACCACAGCAATGTCAACAACAGCAGCCACCACTTGAATGCTCAGATGTGAAGCCTCAGATTTTCAATCCACCATTGCTAATCAATCACCACCAAGCTCACCATACCCAAAACCCATCTTTTTTCTTGCCATTTCCACACACCCACCAAGAGCACCACCTCATGCCGCCGCAGAAAAGGCACAACCCTGGTGGCGGCGGCCTCGAACAGATCTCAAAGGGTCCGTTTTCGGATTCAATGCTTCATCAACAACCTCAAGGACTCTCTCACCAGCTTCAATTGCTTCCAAATTATCTTCAACAGAGACCAACAATGTCAATGAAGCCGAAATTCGAAGCAGCCGATGAAATGGGTCAACAACAACAGGGCATAATCGACCAGCTATTCAAGGCCGCAGAGCTGGTTCAGACCGGTAATTCGGTTCTCGCGCAATCGATATTGGCGCGGCTCAATCACCAGCTCTCTGCAATTGGTAAGCCTTTTCACAGAGCTGCTTTTCTCTGTAAAGAGGCTCTGCAATTGCTCATCACCAATCCCTCGGCGGCCAATTCGCCATTTAATCTAATCTTTAAGATTGCTGCTTACAAATCTTTCTCAGAAATCTCACCACTTTTGCAATTTGCAAATTTTACTTGTAACCAAGCACTCCTTGAAGCTTTAGATGGGTTTGATCGAATTCATATCGTAGATTTCGATATTGGTTATGGTGGGCAATGGGCTTCTCTGATGCAAGAGCTTGCCTTGAGAAGCACCGGAGCTCCATCGTTGAAAATCACTGCATTTGCATCTCCCTCAACCCATGACCAGCTCGAGCTCGGGCTCACTAGAGAGAATTTGAATCACTTTGCTAGTGAAATTAACATGGCGTTTGAATTCGATATTTTAAGCCTTGATTCATTGCACTCTGCTTCTTCATGGTCTCTGCCAATTCATGTCTCTGAAAATGAAGCAATTGCAGTGAATCTCCCAATAGGTTCATTTTCTAATTACCAATTGTCCCTCCCTTTGATTGTTCGCTTTGTGAAGCAATTATCCCCCAAAATTGTTGTCTCTGTGGATAGAGGATGTGATCGAACCGACCTCCCATTCCCAAACCATGTAATTCATGCCCTGCAATCATACTCAAACCTGCTTGAATCTCTTGATGCTGTGAATGTGAACCTAGATGCCATGCAAAAGATTGAGAGGTTCTTGCTCCAACCGGGTATTGAAAAAATTGTAATGGGTCGATACCGTTCCCCTGAGAAGACACTGCATTGGAGGACCCTTTTTTTGTCATCTGGGTTCTCCCCATTAACGTTCAGTAACTTCACGGAATCACAGGCTGAGTGTGTGGTGAAGAGGACTCCGGTTAGGGGATTCCATGTCGAGAAGAGGCAGTCTTCTCTCCTTCTGTGCTGGCAGCAAAAGGAGCTCATCTCAGCGTCAGCATGGAGGTGCTGAGGAGTGGAGGTGTCTTGGATCACGAAATTCATCCCTGTGGTCGAGAAGTTGCCTCATAAGTTATGACTTACTGCTTTAGTATCTGATATTTTTGAATCTTCTTGCCTGTGATTTCACTCTGCTAATTGTCATTGTGGTTTTAGGCAGATTGTTTAGGAAAAAAATAAAAAAAAGAAAAAAAGAAAAAAAAGAAAAGAAAAAGAACCAGACATTTTATTATCTGGATGATTTAGTATAGTTCTCTTTCTTTCATCTGTTATATTCAATGTGGCTATTACTATTATGGTGTTTTCATGCTGTTGTGGAAGGAACAAGGCAAGACCGGTAATGGAAGAAAAAAATTGAAGAATTTAACCCTTTAATTGATACCTCTTTGTTGTGTGCTTTGGATGGATATATTTCTTGACTACTGTTATATACTATGATTCTGTAGTTTTGATAATTAGATGTTTCGACAGTAGTTTTCACTGAGTTTGTTATCTTCAGATAGTGAAATTTCACGGTCATTGACTAAACGTTGCATGAACTTCTGTTCACTTGTGTTGTTGCATATTGCTTCTATATTTTTTCGCTTGGATGTATTGGTTCGATATTTCACTTTATAGAAGTTGTGGATATCACGGGATTGAGTTCTAGTCTGAAATGAACTAGTGATTTAATGATTTGGAGTGGAGTTTTATGCATGACCAATGTTTTCATCTGTTGTTGAACAATACGTTGATTATTCACCGGTTATTGCAAAAACTGAGCTATGCCCAAATTGTTTCTGAAATCTTTAGAGTTATTGAATTTAGGCATCCCACTTTCTCTTTCCTTCTAAAAATGCGCGGCTTTACCGGATTTGTAACGCCTTTTATTGTTTCTGAATTTTTCACAATATTGGTATCCTTACCTTTTCAAGATTGTTTGTGTTAATTTTCATTTTTTTACTATGGTGTTCACGAAGCTGAATATTTCATGAATCTCAAATTTATTAGTTATAGTTTGGGGATACTATTCCAGAAGGAAGCATCTCTATATTGCAGGTCTTGCCGTTATTATAAGGTTTTAAACATCAACCGTTACATTTCGTATCAGCCATAACATATACAAATATATTAGTTGATACTGTATCAGCCATAACATATACAAATATATTAGTTGATATTATCCAATATTGATAGATATATGATTGTATGGCTAATATTAACAAGTGTCTTGATACCGTTATTTAAAATCACCAAGTCAAATTCATATTTCATATTTCATAGTTTTTCATTGCCTAGATTTGTTAGATCTCTTTGATGTTGAATTTAGTGCTACTCTACGCTATTTGTGCTTTTGCACTGAAAATTGTTATTAACATTTGCAAATTACATGTGTAACCATGTTATTATCATAGTTTGGTGGTTGTTTTGTTAATAGAAAAATGCTAAAAATAACTCTAAAGCTTGTTGTGTTAGTATTAAAGAAGTATGTAAAAAGAGTATTAAAAAGTGAGAAAGTATTTTGAAGGGTAAATTGCGTACACATCTCTTGAGATTTAATGAAATTATAGATTTTCTCTTGAAGTTTTAAAAATTACATCATCTATTGCAATTAACGCCGTTAATGGATATCATAAATTGACTAAAATGTCCTTTTGACAAATAAGGACAAATTACTTACATTTCCGTGAGATTTAGGGTTGGTTTGGCAAGGGTTCATTGGGCTTTTTTGGCTCAATGAGCCATAAAAGACAGAATAGGCTCATGAGTTACAACAGACAAAACATTCTATCCAACCCCATAATCATTACACTCTTCTCTCACAAAAAAATCAAAAAAGTCAAAAAGCCAAAAGCCCTTCCCAAACCAAGCTTTTGAGTCCAAGTTCATATAGTCAAAAAGTCAAAAAGCCAACTCACTTCTTAAACGGAGGCTTAGTTAAATTACAGATTCTCCTTTGAAGTTTAGCTAAATTACAAATTATCTCTTGAAGTTTAGCTAAATTATCATTTTTAAATAAGTTATGAAGGCTAAGCTGCTTATGGGAGGATGGATACCTACACCAGCCTTGAAATTGAATTGAGGGGGGGTGGGTGTATAAAGGTCTGACAATCATTCTTCAAAAAGGCTTTAACAATGTGGTTGTGAAAACCGATGCTCAGGAAGTAGTCAAACTACTTAAAGAAGGCCCTCGAGGCAAATATCCTTATAGAGATCTGGTGGAAGATGCGAGGATCATATTATAGAGATCTAGTGGAAGATGCGAGGATCATATTCAATGGCTGCCAATGCACTGTCCAACATGTCTATTGTGAAGGAAACTTATGCGCAGGTGCTCTAGCCAAATTGAGAGCTGCACAATCTGAAGACATCTTAGTTGTTAATGACCTCCAGTTGAGATTCAAGAGCTGTTAGTGGCTGATATGCTGGGGATGGATAGAGAGAGGGCTTACTCTTATGCCTTTGTTTTATTTTCGTTGTATCGAGAAAAAAAAGGAGTTATGAAATGCAAAATTAAAATAGAAAAACACTTATCACACTATAAAAAAGTAAGGTTTTAGAGACTAAAATTTAGGGACAAAATTATTTTTAGAAGACCAAATATTTTTGTTGCGAAAAGTGTCATTATATTTTTAGTAACGAAAATTGAACATTAGTGATTAATTATTATCTTTTTGGTATCAAATTTTTTGTCTTAAAAAATAAATCATTTTGAGACTAAATTATTTTGTCCTTAAAAGTCTATTTATTATTGACATTTTCAAAATTTTATCTTTGAAAGCCTTATTTTTGACTTCTTAAGGTGACCTTTTAGCGACTATCCCCATGACGATAGAAATTAGTCTTTAAATGTCTTTTGTAACAAAATTTTCACTTTTAGAGATCAAAAAAATTGATCTCTAAAAATTTATATATTGTAGTGTCAGATGGTGAAAATATTATAAAATTAACAAATAATTGAATAAGTTAAAAATATAAGAAATGACATGTAAAAAAATTCTTAAAATATGTTTGGTTTGTTTTTTAGAAATTTATTTTTTAATTTTTTTAAAAAAATTAAAAATTAATTTGGTTAAAAAATAAAAAATAAGAAATTATTATTATTTTTATATAATTTTATCTTTTGAGTAGTTAGAAATAATTTTTACAAATTAAATATATTTTTTCATATTTATTTCTATTAAATTAGTTTTTTTTTATTCTGATTTTTTTTTCTAAACAACAAATCAAATATGATTCTAAAAACTTTTTTTTTTTTTCCATCTAACGTAATTCTTTTGTAAATTTTGTTGACTTATCAAAGGGATTTCAGCAGGGGCAATAACAGTACGGGTTAAATTGTTATGCGAATATAAATCTCAGGGACGGGATGTATCTTTTGAAACCTCAAAAAGAAATTTATAATTTGATTAAACTTCAAGGGAGGTGTAGGTAATTTTTCCTATGTTGAAATATGTAAAATGATGTATTGAAATTATGAACATTTTGATATTTTGTGCGCCGCATTAGTAAGATATTTGCTAGAATGTTGAAAAACTTAGGGCTTGTTTTGTTGTGTTTCTATTTTCTATTTTAATTTTCAGGAAACATAAAAAAAATAATAATAAAATAAAAACTTGTTTGACTAACTGTTTTTAAAATTATTTTTCAGATTTTTTTTTCTTCTAAATATAACCCATTTTAAAGACATGAAAAAATTATTTTCTAATTTTGGAATAGAATATTTTCGCATAAAAACTAAAAATGTTATGAAAAACAAAGCGTGTTGTTCATAGTTTTGTTTCAAAAACATGAAAGAAAAAAAAAAATGTACAACCAAATGCATTTGCCATGAGATGGCAGTCTTAGCATGTGAAAGTGTACAAAGCACAAAACAGACATATATTTAACTAAACCACATATCAAACTTCATCTTTATGTACTTTGCATTGCTGTTGTGTCGATTTGTTTCAACCATTGCAGATTGCTGATATAATGTCATGTCCCTGTTCAAATAGTTACATATTTGTCATATTTGATTCATTCTCTTTCAAGAAATATGGTGTACTCAAATAAGATGGTTATTAAGATCAATAATTGTAAGGGAAATTCACAAATAATAACTTTAACCATAAATATGACATTTTTCTTTTCTTTTAGTATGGTTACTATAGAGATCAATAATTGCAAGGAAATAGAATAATTGACACATAATAATTCGAACCATACACCTATATTCTGCTAGGGAAAGGCAAAGATGGACTTAGAGGGGCGATCACTCTTATGATTTCAAAATAGAAAATTTATCTATAAATTCTAGGGCAAATTACATATACACCTCTCGAAGTTTGGTTAAATTACAGATACCCCCCTGAGGTTTCGGAAATTACATCCTGCCCCCTGAGGTTTGTATTTTCATAACAATTTACCCCCTGAGGTTTATATTTCATAACAAATTACCCCCTAATTTCTTATGCAAATATAGTATTCAGGGGGGAATTCGTAATTTCTCAAACCTCAGGGGGGTATTTGTAATTTAGCCAAACCTCGAGGGGTGTATATGTAATTTGCCCTAAATTGTATATGGAGAAATGTTAATCTATTTAGTTATAAGAGTTTTTTTATAAACCAATTATACCTTTTCGTTTTGCAAATTTGTACTTATTTGATTTGGTGTTATTTGAGTTTAAGTGAATGTCATTTTCTGATTATTTTTTTAATTTTCTAATAAGTTTTTGTGATGTGAATGGAAAGGTGAGGCGTGTTTGGGGGAAGGGGGGGGATTGGTGGTTAAGGTGTTGGTTGTCGAGTATAAAAATTTATATTTTTATTAGTGTGGTTTTTTTTATGTTACATTTAAGTATTACATTAGAGTGTTACATTTGAAAAAAGTACACTAAAAATTTTTTATGTGTTACAATGAGTGTTACATTTAGAAAAAAATATATTAAAGAGTTTTTTAGAATATTACGTTGTTAAATTTGAAAAAAATACACTAAGAAAGTTTTTTAGTATGTTACATTTGAAAAAAGTATCTTAAAGAATTTTTGTGTGTTACATTCATTGGAGTGTTACATTTGGAAAAAGTACTCTAAGAAATTTTTTAGTGTATTACATTGGAGTATTATGTTTGGGAAAAATACATTAAGGAGTTTTTGTGTAGTACATTGATTGGAGTGTTACGTTTAGAAAAAGTACACTAAAGAGTTTTTTTAAAATGTTATGTTGTTATGTTTGAGAAAAGTATACTAAAGAGTTTTTTAATGTGTTATATTGGAGTGTTATGTTTTTGGAGTGTTACGTTTGAAAAAAGTACACTAAAAATTTTTTTTTGGCGAATTATACTAACAGTCCCTATAGTTTGGAGTTCGTGTCACTTTGGTCCCTGACTTTTCAATTGCGACACATTTGACTCTGAATTT